AACTTACGATGCAATTTTCCTAATATTTTTTATAGTCGTTCATGTTTTTTGTAAAATAAAAACCTCTTTAATGATAATTGGTTGTTTCCCAAGGGATTGAGGGCTTAGTGTCATGTACATATACATCTTGGGTCTTTTTTGCATCCAACACTAAGATAATCAAATGATATACATATATCATATATTCTCGCTTTACTTTAAACGTATACAGGAAACAATAAACGGGGGTCGATTTCTTATTACTAAAATAACCCAAACATTCCTACAACAATGCCTACGGATCCCCAGTTGAAAACCACTCATTTGGAGGCTTACTCCAAGATGACAGCAAAACTAGTTATAATTGTTGCACTTATTTAACCATGAGCACAATTTGTTTAATAATATATTTACTGTTTTATTTAAAAAAAAAAAAAAAAAAGGTACAAAAGTGTAACAAGTGTATTTTAACAATAGGGGGGGCGCGCGTGCAGTAAAATGTGAGATTTGCTCCAGATGACAGCAGTGGGCCCTTTTGTACTGAGTATCAGTCTTCCGGGGTTCACGTACGGCGAGCCCGGTGAGCTTCTGTGGAACGAAGGCCCACTGGTGATAAGTTTGGACACATCTGTGCCACGCTTGCACTAAAAACAAAACTAGTTTAAGGAAATCATCCTGTGCAGCAGGACACCGACGACAATCCCGGTGAAATACGACAACGGCTAACGGCTCACAGTTACATATAGGTAACAGTTAAAGTTTTGTTCTCCGTGTTTGTATCCTTGTTGTTTTAACTCGGTGTTTATTTTCTAACGTGTTTCAGCTGTTGTTATTTTCTGTTAAGTGAACTTCCTCACTTTGTTCGTTGCGCTGTCTGGTCAAGTCAAGCTACAGCAATGTAAGCTAACAGCGGCGTTGTTGCATTTGTGTGAACTCAAAATGTTGTGCTAATACAACGTTGCGAACAAGCCACCGTTGGGTTAGTGGAGTTGCGACTCCTCAGACGTTGTGTGACACGTCATAACACTCAATTATGTGACCAGTGATCCCATTGTAATGTTGGCATCTTTCGCAGAGCCATTTGGTCACATGACTGCGCCGCAACAGGTATTACACCTAACGTTACTCAACGACAGCTCCGTTTCTGGTGAGAGTGGAACCAACAAGTTTTTGCACTTACGTTAACAACCTGAATTTTATTTTTTGACCAACATGACATGTGAAACTGCACACCAACATTGTATAGAAGTGAAATGCACACCTTGCTCAAAACAATTAGTGTTATCCAGGTCAGTAAGACATTGACTTGTTACGTGTAGAATGGAGCAGAATCTAAATATGTTTTGCAGATATTTTGCAAATTACAAATTCATTTTAAAGCATGTATAGTATTCCAGACATAGTCTATTAATGGTAGAAGTCACATGTTGTGATTGAAATCTCCCAACCACATCACACCTTCATTGCATGCAAAAGAACACCTAATATTCTCAAAGTTATCATCACAACACACACACAAAAGTTTAAAAGTTATCATCACAACACACACACAAAAAAAAAGTTTATAAAATGATGATTTACTGTGCTAATGTGAAAACTTAGTCATTCAATATTGCAATGTCACGAGAATAGAGAAGACCTCCTACGCAGGTGCAGGATTCATACTGGGACAAAAAGACAAAAATACATCTCTAAAATTAATTAGTAGACACATTTACGTTTTATTTTATTTCTTATCTTTATGGAATTGTGTGCAGGAAGTATCCAGATAAATCTGGCGATTCATAAAATAAATTCTTCTTATCATTTTAGGTTACAGGAAGTATATGGTAATGAATGAATAACATGACACAAAGTGTTTCCCTGTACTAAAATGCTAATTCAAATCTGGTTGTTAGGTGCATTTATATTCTGCAGATATTTTGAAGCTATTCCGCAGATAATTGTGAAGGAGAAGGCTGTGAGTTGTGTTCATTAATTGCATTTTTTAATTTTCAAAATTAATCAGATTGAAAATTGTATTGTACAGGCAATAATTCCCTCACCCAATTACTTATCAATGCTCTATAACTCAGTTGATAACCTGCATAATAATAATAATAATAATAATAATATAAAACGTAATAATAATTTACATAATGTGTGGAAACATTTCCTTTTCACCAAGCCACTTAAAATCCACTGTCTCATCTCTTTATGGAGGCCTCAACTTCAGTTCATACCTGAACCATACAGGTGTCCACGAGTGCAAGGCAGGATGTAAGTCTACGGCTGACTGGCACCCTTGGTATTATATTTATTATATATATATTTTTTAAATTATAAAATCGTTCCCAGTTGAATGCCCTGATGCACCTTTTGTAAACAACCGAGTTTGAGGTGCACTTAAAGCAGTCATTCAGTGTGATTGGACCGTCTCATACCATCTACATTCTGTTTGTTTCCAGGTATGTCTCAAGTTAGTCTTGAAGCTGAATCGGGGAGGACCTCACCCGAGGACCCTCAGAGGGAGTGTGAGGAGTCTGACAAAGCAGAAGAGAGTTTGAGTGAGGGTCTGAAACAGGAGAGTGTAGACAACAGTAGGACAAATTACTGCTCAGACGAGGAAATGTATGAGATTGATATAAACAGCGGTGAAGAAAAAGCGGAAAAGGGTGTGAAGGATGGCGAAAAGGAGGAGGACATTCAGAATGAGAGTGTAGGATCATTCAGGGATGTCGATGCTGCTCCGGCATCTGGCAGCGTAGACCAAGGGGCACATGTGACAAATCATGTTGAAGCAGCTGAAACCCCAGAGGAAGGTGGAGATTCTCACATGGAAACAAAGGTGATATTAACCCTCATTTTGATGATTCAAACCCTACGTGCCAGCCTTCTTGCCAGTCTCCTTCAACTTCCTTGCTGTGCAGGTGTTACGCTGTTGTTTCCATACAGTTTTGCTTTGGTGGCGGCCGTTTGTTTCCTGCATAATGAAATTATAACTTTTAGTTTGTGTTCTGATAACTCATATGTTACAATCAACTGTGTAAACCTATGATGTAGCTGTTCTCTTTTGTTTTTTCTCGATCACAGCCTTTTTGGAAATACTAAGAGAAATACTGTAGCGGTGTGGCTTTGCTGCTTCGGGTGGTTGTCTTGCTGGTGATGCTGCAAATTCACCGTCCTCTTTTCTCCGTCCTCTGATTTGTGTGTACTGATTTATGTATACTATGTTGTATAAACATGATAGTTATTTTACATTCTTTACATTCATTACACTGACAAAGCCCTTCTCTTGGTGCACCATTTAAACACGCATAAAGCCTTTCTGTGCTCTCGAGACCTCAATTATTTTTGCCATGGATTCCACTCCAGGGCTGGAAACATGGGACATTCTGTATTATGTTATAATGACTTCATCACTGCTGCCTTTTTAGTCTAACCCTCTGTCATTTCTGTATCAGACCTTAGGGACTAACAGGTATTTATTCACGGGATCGCCCTGTTGTTTTAAATAATTAAATTTAGTGCTTCGTTGTGCTGCATAGAGCTATTCGTAGTTGAAGTACTCTTGAAGGGATTCTCATGGTCAGTGGTTGGTTTAGAGAAAAATGGTTAATGCTCAATAATGTCTTCCTGTTAAAATACTCATTGATTTTGTCTGTGTCATAAGGTAACACTTGTGCCATGTGTGCGGATATGTTTTGACACTGACACTGACAATGTGTGGGTTGTAAGTACAGGCTGTTGCACATGATGCAAATACCTGTTCCATGACATTGTTTTTCCTGATTGCAAGTCATGTCTGTAGATTTTACATGCTATCAGTCGCATTGTTCTGAGGCCATGGATTCTCTTCATATTATTGTGTGAGATTTTGGGCCGTCGGCTTTCTCTGCACTGAACACGAAGTACTGTAAATGTGGAATAGTAATTTATATTATTAAGTTTCTTCCCATTTGGTTTTTAAGTTTATCAATAATATTTATGTCTGGTGTATGTAGCTTTGGTATTTCAAAATGTTATACTTTCCTATTATATTTGGGGTGAACATATATATTTCTTTCCTCTCTTGCTGACGCAGCAAATTGCACAATTAGTTCATTGTTGTTATCGCTCCCTCCCTGGGGCTGCTTGTCTCCTGGATACTAAACTGCAGGGAATGGCAAACTATGACATGCCATTCCTTGCCTCGACATCCACCTGATTAACTCAGAGCTACTTTGCTGCTTACCTGCTCCATTAAGCTGACACATGTTTACTGATGGTAGGTGGAATCATTCTGGGCTCAGAGACCCTCTATTCACCTTTGCATGCGATGTTGAATGTTTTCTATGATTTTTTTTTTATGCTGAAGATATTAGTAGAAAAGCAAGGAACAAATGTTGTTACACTTTTTATTTGTTTACACCATTCACTGATTGTAATTGGAGACAGGCCACTGCAGACAGGCTTTTTAAACCTGGTGTCAGAGGACACTCTGGGGGGTGGGGTGGGGGGGTGGAGCCAGTGTTAGGTGGTTAGACCTGCCTGGTGGTGCAGGTCCAGCGATTGTTACCAACATGCAGGCTTCATATGGCCTTTAAGTATTTATGCCACAACCGGTGGCCTCTGTCGTGTGAAGATTAGGTCATTCATCACATCTAATTTTAATCCAGAATTATTATTAGAATGTTGCAGAGTAGTTAAAAGTGACTGAATAATATTGCAGATGTTGACAGCTGACTCAGGTTACCTAGTGTTACAGTATTTCTGTTAAGAAGAGGTCACTGTGTAGTTCCTCCTCATCTCCTGTTATGTGTCAGACAGACAGACTTGGTGATGGTCTGTGGTTCCCAAAATAAGGGCCACAGACCTATTGCTGGCTATTTTAGTAGCGTGACAAGGCAAATTTAATTCAATTTCAATGTTGTCTTTAATTTGTGCAGTGCACTGAATTGAATTATTTTCTGTACTGTTCAATGACAATAACATTTGACAATAAACAGAGAACATTCTTGTTGAAAACTCTAGGGACAGTAAATAATATAAAAATTATCTTTATATTATTGACAGAGTTGATTTATACTGTGGATACGTTCCAAAACTGTGTATGAACATGAATTTTCTGAAGTTTTCTGACACAGTTGACGGCTCATTGACTTTGACTGTAAGGGAAAGACTCCGACAGACACTGACACGAATCTGCATTTCACTGAAAAGATCAAAAGACAATCATGATTGGGTGGCTTCACTTTATGGCTGCTGCATTATCTCCACATGCTTTTACAGAGCACTAAAGTTTCAATGACGTTGCCCAATAGCTCCTTTTTGGACATTGTCCACAAGGTGGCAGTCTACCGCTGTGGTGTCAGAGGAGTGAATCTCAGGGCTTTTTTTTTCATAATGGAGAGAGCCAGTTGAATTTAAGGAATAGAAATGAGCAATAATCTGTTTTATTTCATTCTTCATAGAAAAGCACAATGGCTGAGGAATCCCACAGAAGCTCAGCCGCTGAGATTACAGTCACAAGTAATGGAGACTTGGATCAGAGCCCAGAGACAGTGTTCCAGAGGGTAAGAGCTAATTCAGAGGCATGAAAAAGTTGCGGTAGTAAAAGTAAACCCAGTCTTTAAGGTCACATAATGTCTTTACAACTGTGCTACTTGTTTGTACTGGTCAAAGTACAAACAACTGGATATACATCATTATGTAAATGTTAAAGTAATATTTTATACAAAGACATTTTTAAGTGTTTTTTCTGCTCTTTTCATTTCTGGTTTGATGTTGTACTTGCTGCGACTACTAGTAAACATCAAAGGTGATACGATCTTTTTATTTTTTCCATAGGACTCCTACACCAGTGGTCCCATGACCATCAACGTCCCAGAATCCTGTGTCTCCCCAAATGCTTTTTCTCCAACAACAGAAGGCGTCTTTGAATCAGGACCATACAAAGGTAAATATGTACTTGATGTATATTAGGGACGTCCCAGTACAATGTTTTACAGACCAATGCATGTGGGAGTATTTTAAATTGTATACTTCCTGATATTAGGGACTGCCACCATTAAATGTTCAGGTGGGGTTTGGCTCAACCAAACCCCAGTGCCTCCATGTGTGGTTTAACATCACTGGGAAAATAAAAGAGGTTGTTATTTGAATTTGTAAAGGTGGACATCCATTGAGTTGAATGTTTCCTCTGATCTCCAGGTTGTAGCGTTATCCTTTTCATCAGAGTACCTTTATAAATATGCAAATAAAAATCTCCCCGTAGAGCAACAAGCTGCTGTTGACACTTTCCTGCAATGTTGCCATGGCTATTTACCAGGCTATTTGTGCTAAGTGAGGCTCATTAAAATATTCATCTTGAACATGGGGAAGAGAGACGTATTTCCCCTTTATGCTTGTGCAGGCGAAGAAGTTGACCTTTCTCTCCATCATAATTGTAAATATCTCTCAGGGTCAGCCAGCCTGCCCACATCTCCTGTGTTCGCTGTAGCTCCTAGCACGGCTGTTGCTAGTCGCCTGGCACGCTCTTTCAGCGAATGTCATGCTGATAGAGGTACCGTTTAAAAGTTAATGCTGAATCAACATTCGCACACTAACATAACAAACATCTCTGCTTTACCCTGTCCCTCAGAATGACACTGTCTACGTCTCCTTTCTGTTTTATTGACTCGATTCATGTTTTCCTTGGGAGCATTAACTTAGGGTGTTCAATTAATTACAAGTGTTCTCTCAGTGTGACACTGTTTTGTTTTTTAAATTTTAACACTCTGGGTGAGCTTGGAAAGAAAATCATTTTTATTTACAGTGGGTTTTCCTGCTTGTACTCTTTATCCCTGCAAAAGCTGTGAACACTGTGGAGCCCCAATACAATTTAACAGAAATATTAATAATGAATAGAAATAATACTAATTACGGTTGTAAGAGACTAATCACAGTAAATTAATTAACACAATTAAGACGGTAATTCCAACCACAACCACAATCATAATAATAATAACAATAACAACAATAATAATAGTGAAGTCTTATTACCAAAACGATGTCATCATTAGCTTCAAGGTGACATGCGTTTAGTCTTATTATATCAATTTTAAAAAACTAAATATAGAAAATCAATTAAGTTTGGGACTCCACATCTGCCATCACTTCCTCAGTGTAATACAATGAAGCACTAATCATCACGGTGTTAAAGGCTCATATGAACTTCACCAGCTTCTTCTAATGGCTTTAATGGTTGTGTTGTATTAATGCAAGTGTCCATGTGGCATTATAATTTCAAGAATTGATTTTTCTTGCACTTGAAATTTTCATGTATTAAGTGGAAAATATTCAATTATCCAGGAACAATGCCAGCACAGCAGAGTGGAGCTGTGGTCCCTTCTGATGACATCAGGAATCCAGCCATGGAAAAACTGGACCTTGTCAGAAAGTGGAGCATCAACACTTACAAAGTAAATATCCTTTTCGCCGATGGTTTTTTAATATTGTTTGAGTATGCGTGTCTCATTCATATTTTCCTAATTTTGGTCGTTATTTAGTAGAGGTATGTATGGGCAATAATCTGCCGTTACGATGCGTATCACGATACATGGCCAACAATACGATACATTGCGATATATCGCTAGAGAAAAAAAATAAAAGCAAAATACACGTTATATTTTATGTATTTCACAGTGTACCAGACAGATCCTGTCAGAAAAGATGGGACGCGGCTCGAGGACGGTTGACCTGGAGTTAGAGGCTCAAATTGATGTCCTGCGTGACAACAAGAGAAAGTACCAGAATGTGTTGAAGCTGGCTCTGACGCTGGCCAATCAGCTGGCCCAGATGATTAAAACACAGAGGCAGCTGGGTGACGCCTTTGCTGACCTCGGCCTCAAATCACCAGAACTTCATGTAAGTCCATTTACTGCACTTTGACACAGATCTGAAGGAGACTTTAAGGCCAGTTGAGAATCATCTGTCCAGTAACATCTCTTACAGTATATCATAGCTGACACTTCACTTTGCATTAGGGTGCGTGGACAGCGTTTAATTAGCAGTTATGTTCTAAGACTTGATTGTGTTGATGTTCTTCAGGAGGAGTTTGGCTACAATGCGGAGACACAAAAACTTTTGTCCAGAAATGGGGAGACCCTGCTGGGTGCCATCAATTTCTTCATCTCCAGCGTGGACACGCTGGTAGACAAAACAATCGAAGACACCATGATTAATATCAAACAATATGAACTGGCCAGGTGAGCTGCAGCACACACTTTTTTTTTTCTCTAACTTTTCTTGGTCAGAACAATTTAAAATCTGCTGGACATAATTATTGTTGGACCTCGTGCACGGTAGAAATATGTCTGACAATTTGGTTTTCCTTATGTCCAATTAAACCCATGCATTTCTTTTTGTTTTTTAAATAGCGTTATTTTGTGTAGTCTAATGTACAATACATGCTTTTATTATTTGATTTTGCCTTTATCTAAAAAAATTATGATGCAGGATAGCTTTTTTTAAATATTTGTTTTATTAATTTCTCATGTTTTGGATCAGTCATAAGATTCTAAAATTACAGTTTTTATGGTTATTTTAAAGGGGAAGTGTGCAACACCTGTTTACATTTTTTATATATATAAAAATATAATTTATCACAAAGTCATAAGATTCTAAAATTACAGTTTTATGGTTATTTTAAAGGGGAAGTGCAATGGGTATTACAGTAGAAGAAATGCACATTAGGACAGACACATCATCACTCAGCACCATCACTGACTGTTGTGGTAACATGGCAATGTTGTACCCGTAAGACTAATACAACATAAACAGGTAATTTGAACACGTTATCCTTATGTTCTCATCACAAATCACTTTCTATGAAACAAAAGGGTTTTTCTTTTTAAATATGTTTTTAATAGTCTGTTCTCAGTGAGACTCAACAAAGGGAACTTATCTTGATAACCTAACAGCAGCTCTGTCTACTTCTGGGTTGCATTAGTGCCACCTACTGGGACTGTTGTCCACTGGTTAAAAAAAAACAAAAAAACACGGGGATTTCCTGGTCATTTGCTAAACAAATTATTATTCAGTATAGTGTGCTTTTGTATTTCTCTATTTTTACCCTATTTAAATTTAATGTATTTACTGCATTTAATTTTCCTTGCTCCTTTCCTTCCTTTCTTCATAATTATTATTATTATCATTTAGAACATGAGGTCTGTGGTCCATGATGTTTATCACCAAGTGGTTTCTTGTTGTCCTGCTGTTGTATTCTTTCATCTTGTGGCTTTTTCACACATGATTACTATACTGTAGAAACGTACTGTGTCTTATCCCCAGGGTTGAGTATGATGCGTATCGCACAGATCTGGAGGAGTTGAATTTGGGACCACGCGACTCCACCACTCTGCCTAAGATCGAGCAGTGCCAGCAGATGTTCCAGATTCACCGCGAGAAGTATGAGAGGATGAGGAACAGTGTGGCAATCAAACTTAAACTCCTGGAAGAGAACAAGGTCAGCAGTCTTTCTTCTCCCCACAGCTGCTCCAACATATCAGCAGTAAAGTTTAATTGGCTCATTATATCCTTTGTTTTTTTTTTCCTGCTTACAAACAGGTGAAGGTACTGCATAATCAACTGGGTCTGTTCCACAATGCCATATCTGCATACTTTGCAGGGAACCAACAGCAACTGGAAGAGACACTCAAGCAGTTCCACATCAAGTTGAAAGTCCCAGGTGGGGACAATCCATCTTGGCTAGAAGAGCACTCAACCTGAGAGGCTCCGTTATAAGTTTTGACAAAACTTCTAAACATCTCTTTTCCACTCCACACTTCATTGTCTTTCAGAATCTCTAAATTGTATCTCTTACAATCAAATCTACAATCTGTTGATAACTTGATATATAAAAAAATATTTCCACCTGAGCATATATTTCATATCCAAGGACAAACATTTTTATACCATTTGAAGAAAAATAACACACATTTTAAAAAAATCATAGTTTTCTATGTCAGCGTATGAATGTTGTATCTCAGCACGGTAAAAGTGCTGCCTCTGCCAGGGCTGCCATTTTTTATTCACATAATTTACATTAGAGTCACCAGCAATCTGAGATTATTAAAAAAAAAGATTCTACCGTGTGTTTATAAAAGAGTTGAAATGTGTTGTTAAAAATGGGGGCAGCATGACATTCATAGGTCTGAAATATGCACATGTAATAAAACCACTTTTTCTAGCAAAGTCAAATTCGTTTGACATTCTGCACAGTTCAGTGTCTATATGACCAAAGCTAAAAGCTGATACGTTTAGCATGGCCTAAACTTAAAATGGGAAACGGGCAGAGTCGGGTGGGCTTAAACTGCATATTATTTAAAGACAATTATATGTTACTAATACAAAACCAAAGTGGAAAAAAAATATGGTTTTATGGGACATTTTGAAATGTAGGTAGAGACAACCAGTTAGCTAAATCTTGGCATAAGGGCTAAGCTAACTGGCTGCTGGTTTTTGGTTTCACAGACAGGTATATTTGGTATTATATGGCTCTTGTTATATACAAATTATCAAATGGTTTATTTAAATAAGAAATAAGAAAAAAAATCATGTTTTGTTGCAATTGTGACCTTTTCCTACTTGTATTGTAATGTGTCCTGGGTCATGTGACTGAAGCACACTGAGATTCAAGGCCGCCGGCTGTATGTGTGGGTCGGTGGCTTTGACAGCAGTGAAAGACTGTTGTCTCGTGTTAAATCTTTTTAACTTTTACAAAAGCCCACAGATGGGTTTGTTTTCAGGGCATTTTCCTCAACTAAACAAACACAAAGAAATGAGGTCGTTGTTTAAATCCTGGAAGTTGTTGTTGTTGTTCTTGCCTGTAACCTGTAAACAATAGCACTCCTTTTGATCCCAGCAAATTTAAACGGTTTATTTTGCATAGAGAGTGAAGGAGTGTCATGTGATTATAAGTGGACACACGTCAAAGTCTGGAATATTGATCGGTCTTTTCAATATTACCAGCTTTTGTTTTAGCTTTAGAACATGACTGGACATTTACATCGGTGATCATCGTAAATTCAAAAAGAAAATGAAGCACCAGCCTTGTGTGATTTAAATGTGCCTTGACTTAACAAACTAGTTATACTTCCTTATTACTGGTTTTATTATATAAACACCATTCACTACCAGCTTTTCCAGGACCAACTCTTGATGAAAGAGAATGGACAAAAAAAGCACACTCCAAGGATATAGATGAAACCTATATCATGTTTAAACACTCAAAGATGACAGCTGTGTTTTTTAAAGTACAAAAACATTAACTTCAGAAAGTATGCTGTTGTTAATGGTATTTATCCACATTGCACATGTGCACATTTATGCATTTGATACTATTTACAGAGACTTGTAAAAACCGCATGTTATATACGATTAAGACCAAAATACAAAGAAAACTCTTTTTTTTGTAATTTTAAAAGACCAGCATCTGTTGCTATAGCTGCTAACGGTTTCTACTATTGGACTCCATAAAGTATATATTACAAAGAGGACGGCGTTCTCTGGGAGAATTTACATAGTGACTTTGTCTTCATTTGTCAGATTTGTAAACCTTATTCAACGATCTCTTTTCCCCTGAAATACAGTAGATGGCTATATATTCGTAGAATTTTATCTTTGTGGATATAATCTGTGACCAATGCAGCTGTAAAGGCCTGAATAATAGAACGCTCGCACTGTGTAGTAGTCTTTATCTTTTGTAAGAATGAAACATTTACAAATGTTTAAAGGTTTTGGAATGTGGTGTTTCCTCTTTGGGAAAATAAAAGCTTCTTTTCTTTAACTGTTTTTTTTTTTGTGTTTTTCATTCTTTTTCTCTGTGTGTCCTGTGAGTTTAGGTACTAGCTGCACAGGTGTTTCAGGTTTAGGTTTTAATCTACACAACTACCACACCCACACGTATATACAGCTGAAAGGACCTGTTTAATCCCAGGAAAATCCCAGAGCATTGATCTGTTGTGTCTGTGGGTCACCATACATGAAATTACAGGGCTTCAGAAGTATTGTTTAGGATGCACACAAAGATAAATAAAAAACCTTTATCTCATGTTTGTTTTGAAGTAAGCCTGTTTGCTTTGACTGTGAAGAAACAACTAAAACACACATGATGATCCCCTGTCTGTCAAGTTAAAGGTTGCGATGTTAACAGTCATAACCAGTTCCTGATCTGGGCCACTGAACAGGTCAGCTCTCCAGAGAGCTAATGACTTTGACCTTGTGTGGAAAGTAAACAACATCAGCTTGTGAAATAATACAAGGAGGATCAGAAACACTGTTTGAAATACCCTTGCAAATGCACTTGAAAAATATTTGATGTTTTCCCTGTACTGTTTATTACTGTTTTTATTATTTTATTAAAGAGATATTTAGATCATGTTTCCATTTAAACATTACTATAAAATACAACTTTTTATTATAATAGTCATTATATTAAGGGCTGGAACTATTTATTACACTTTCATCTTCCTAATAATGTCTTGATTACTTTGCTGTTTTCACGACCAAAGGCCGGGACAAAAGGGTAAAAAGTCATTTGTTGTTTCCTAAACATTGTAATGATGACGTCCCTAAATGTCTTGTTTCATCTTAACACAAAGACAGTCACCCTGGTGTCGCAGAGGTGCAAGGAAACCACTCACATGCAGTCGTCCAAATGAAAGAGGATCCGAAAACCCATCGATCCATTCAGAACCTTTTGTTTTATTTTGTCCATTCATTCGTAGAAAATAGATTGTTTTCACAGTTTTAAAATAAACTGAAATAAAAAAATAAAATATATTGCTGTGAGGGAGGAACAAGTCAAATGAGTAATTCTAGTAGCAGTGCTCATGCCATTCAAGTACCTGTGGTTTCCAGAGTGTGTAAGAGTAGAATGAAAGGCAGAGCTTTCAGATACCAGACCCCTGTCCTGTGGGTTTAGAAAGCTGAGACCCTTCTCACCACCCTGCGTTAAACTTCCTTCTGGCTGATCCTGCTGCTATCTCTACTTCTCTGTTTGCACAAGCCACACTATCACATCCAGACATGCATTCTTGTCAATATTATCATTATCATTTTTGTCATGAGATTTTTTATCAAAACATTGTTTATGTATTAATACATTTTTTTAATCACTGTTTGATTGTAAATTTGACATTGCTGATTATGGTGAAAATGTATGGTGAAAAGATGGTGGAAGATCTGTTGTATTATTAGTTTAAATGTAGTTCAAATAAGCAAAGAAGAAAAGGTCAAATTAAGAGAGTCAAAAATGGTTATAGCCAAAGTTTATTCAGATGAGTCACAGTTCCTTCTTTTTAATAGGACAGCATACAGTATATTACTGTTGAACCAAGATAAGAGTATTTGCTCGTGGGTTCTGAAAACGCTCTCAGTACTTCTGTAGCTCCGCCCAGGGTTTGACCAAACACTGCAGACACTGATAACACTTGTAGAGCAACTCACTTGTTGAGTTACTCTATGTCTAAAAGAAGACGAAAAAGAAATCCATTAAACAAATAAAGACTTTTGGCTGCAGTAATGCACTGTTTGCTGTTTCACTAGTCCGACACCTCCCCTGGAAACAGTGTGAGATTAGCTGAATCGTCCAATGGGAGTGTGTCCACATGGTGCACTGGGAAACATCCTCCACTGACACACTGATGTTACTGATGTTTACCACAGCCAGGCCCCTATTTGACAACACATCATTAATTACCCGGGTTGACATGTAATGACTCTCTTTCCATCCACGTGGAATGCTGATTTACAAACTTCCTATTCAAATGTTTCTCTGTGTGTAAGTGCAGTTTGCACAGTCAAAAAACAGTAGATAAGGGATATTATATATATTATATTATATATAATTGGACTGTCCCGTTTGGTAAATGACACAAGGATTGCAACCTGAAAATAATTAAATGGCAAAGATATTAATTATAATATAAATAAAAAATATATAATTTTAACAGTATAATGACTAGGAAAATTATTGTTCATAATAATGATGTACTTTTTTTTTACATTAGCTGAGCCTTTATAATGTTATTATATAACCACAGCCTTCAACATGGAGTGTTATGTATGTGTTTTAGTTAGTAGTGTGGTGAAGTAAAGTCACATAAACACGTCATATATAACACAAATATGTTATAAATATATGAAAACGTGGTGGAACAGCAGTAAACGCATAATTATATTGATAACAACAAAGTCTTTTCACGTGACGTTTCTGGTACATGACTTCGTCATCACCGATTGCACCAGTGATCACAAGCTGCTGGGTAAGGCGCGCGCCTTAGTTGACGCGTGAACGTGCACGATCCACCTGAACCAATCAGGGACGAATCAGCTCACAACACAGCCGCCTCCTGCTCCCGCTGCTGTGCGCGTGTGTGTCAGTGTGAGTGGCTGTAGGTGTGTATGTGTGTGTTTGCTGCAGCTCTGTCAGGACACCTGGCCGACACACAGCACAGCTTCTCTCTTCTGAGAAGTAAAAAAAATGCTTTCTTACTAACAACGGTGTCGGAGCGGATTATTACGTTTCCCGACGAGTCCCTCCTCATCCCGCGGGTACAAGTGGAGCAGCAGTGGACGCTGCTGCCACCGCGACCGTTGCTGCTGCATCATCGTACTGTTGACTGCTGTTGGTGACCTGCAATAAAAACTCAGCGGGAGGAGAAAAAAGTCAGTGATAAGGTGAGGCAGGAGCCTTTATCGGTCTCTTTTTTCCCGCCCAGGTGACTTGTGTGTGTGTGTGTGGTCCCTGCACTGCAGCTCTTCTTTTAAATGACATCATGTTGATTTAGTGCAGTTTCAGGCCTTAATATGTTGTCTTACTGTACAATAGCGGTGTAAACACTGGGCGAAACATCAGCAAATGTTCAAACCAATTAAATTCAATTATTGTTCATTAAAAACAACACTTCATATCCAGTCAACTGGGCCATTTGTCACACTCAATAAACACGATTTAATGTTGGGAATGAAGATAATACTTACTTTACATGTTTATATTAGCTTCTGCAGTTTCTTTTTCAAATTGACGTTATGTAAGGCCTTTGTCCAGCGTCAGTAACGTGATAGGAGATATTTGTAGTTTAAACACAGCCTGTGTGAATGACACTGTTTATGGCAGTGTTGTAGTAAAATTCCTTTTCATTTGTTTAACTACTATGACTATGTGTTTTACTTCTTTTTAAATACTATACCTTTTCATTTGTTTAACTACTATGACTGTGTTTTATTTATTTTTAAATACACACTTGTTGAAAGTAAATAAAGTAACCAATATATTCCATTGATTTTTATTCACATTACACTAATAATATTACAATAATTAATTTTAATTTAAATAATTTTACTAATTGGCCATTTGGTCAAATCAAATTTTTATTTGTTATATTTCAGGGTTTTTTAAGGTTATGCTTCTTTTATATGTTTTGTGGGATTCTGTGCCAAAAATTTGAAATCAATAATATATATTTTATTTCACTCACCATTGTCCCCATAATCTTTTAGCTTTTTAGTTGACTTTCATCATAAGATTAAAAAAACAACTTTTTTTTCCCAGCATATTATGAAGCTTGTGGTTAGATAAAAGTGATTTTGTTTTTTTCCGCTTTGCTTTATACAGTACACACTACTTATAGTGACAAGGGGATTAAGAACCAGTGTTTAGCGTTGTGGTGGTGGTTGTCGTGGAATCCTAACAGAACTCAACTGTGGCAGCCCTTTAAGCTCAGCATGTGTGGCTTTACAACTCTGCTGCTGTCGGTTTTGTTCTGCACCTCAGACCCCGGCTTCCTTGGCTTTTGTACACTAGTATCCATGCTGAGATGAATTAGAGGGCAATCCATTCAAGTGTCGGGAACAATGCCCCCACGGAAAAAAAGAACTTTCTACCCAGGTCAGGTCAAGGGGGAGGGCGGTGTCACCCCAGTTGCTGTGGAGGCCGAGATCAACATGGAAAACTCAATTCTCTGACGTCATCCCGGGGACCAAGATATTGGGGAGGCTTGATTTATTTGTGTGGGAGGAAGAAGGGCCTGGATAGTGTTGGCAACATGGGTCAACGAGAGCTTTCTTTATTCACCGGAAATCTGTCAAATTGATTCAAATTGAAGCTGCTGTAAAGCGGTTGAAAGATTGCAAAACATAAAGGAAGTCTTGGGTGCAAGGCTTCTATGATTTAAACACTTGTTTCAATCATGCAAATACAAAAATGAATCACATAAAGGAAGTCTTGGGTGCAAGGCTGCCTCAGCGCCTACGGCTTCTATGATTTAAACACTTTTTTCAATCAATGCAAATACAAAAATGAATAAAATAGAAATATATGTAGCTGTGTAAACAAGTTTAAATCCTTAAATAATGCAGATTTTTTACTGATGTGAGTCGTCCACTGGCTCAAGAGTCAGGGCTCGTAACGTGATCTGTGCCTGTAAGTTGTGTTTCACAGGTATCAAAGTGTACTCCGATGACTCTCTGTTTCTCCGTGCCCTTGGGCAAACACTTTTCCCCCACTGCCATACAAACATGTTTGCATTCCCTCCATGTTTCCATGCTGTTGTCTCTATGGTGACCCTGTGCCCCTGCTTTATTTGTCATGTCTGTTATAGTCACCTGCGTCACACTAAGGAGCCAGTTCCTATTATCTGTCTTGTCATGTCACAAACGGTGGCTCTAGTTTTTGAGGTTCCATATGAGAAACGATAGATTCAGTCTGAAAACTGCACCAGCCTGTGTTATCAGGACGAAGAGACACATTTGCCTAAAGTTGATCCTGGCACCAGGCTGTGGCTGAAGAACTGAAAGTGGCAGCCGACCGCCGCAGGCCAGACACTGATCACCAGAACAAACAGGACAAGTTTCAAGGCTTTTTTTGTTTTTTATCTGTAGCCTCACACCAAAGTATCCTCTCACATCTCATCCTCCCCCCCCACCCTCATCATTACTCTGGGGTTTAATTTCACCTGGCTGCCTGTTTTTTTCTTTTGTATTTTTTATTAGAAGCCTCTGTTGTAGGTGACGTGTACTGTGCTCCAGGAAATTCCTCTTTGAAAAGTGTTGGACGCTGCTGTGTCATCCTGTGGTCACTATAAAGGAGAGGAGGAGAAGGGTGGTTTTCACAGTCTTCAAGTTAAGACCAAAGATTTATACCACATTTAATACTTCACTCGTGAATGAACACATTCCTGCATTTTAATTAGTATAAACCTTAAAACTAGTCAACCTTTTCACTGTTGGCAACAACCCTGTGAAAATACTGCCAAAAGAAGATAACCAGTTGTATTTCTTTTCTAGACCATTATATTTAAATATGTGGACTTGGATCTTTGTCCACATAACCATGAACAAAAATAGTTATTTTGGACACCTATTTTTTTTAGAATTCTCATCCTAGCTATACTTTTAATTATTTAGCTCACATGGTAAACATGCAAAGATTACTCTTTTTTAGAATTCTCATCCTAGCTATAATTATTTAGCTCACTAAACATGCAAAGATTACCAAAACTAAAGCACATTTTGAATTTTTTTAGCCCACATTTGGCCATTACTTTTCTAAAACAACAAATAATTTGATCAGTTATAGCTAATATGTAATTAATATACAGTATGATATATATTTACATTTTCTTTTGCATATTTAATCAATTATAAATGTAACGAAAAAAATAAAGGGACCTTTCCAGGGCACTTTTCTGCACGGTCAACTTTTTAGCAGTTAATCAGAGGTTTCTTGTTTGTTTGACTCATTCAGAATGATTTGATGTGATATGACCTGTGTTACATCTCAGAAAGATGTTTATGATGGTCTTAGCAGAGGCCTAGTTAAACTGTCATTAACCCTGCAGCGTTAATCTTTAGGTTCTGAAAACACACACTCATTAGCAGATTCATGCTAAGCTTGAGGGATACGTTTTGTCATGAGCTTCTACACATGGTCTTTAAAAATCCCTGGTTCACTGACTTCTGTGCTGCAAAATGAGGCTGAGCGAAGAAATGTCACAGGTCAATTTGTTAGTTGGCATTTATTTGTTTTTTTGTTTTTATATGTATTGTCATTATTTCTCTCCAGGTTTATCAACTCCAGTGGCATATGACCAGTTGCGCTGGGTTCAATTTCACCCTAAATTTGTAAATATACAGCTTTCATTTTTACTACCACTATTACATCCTTATTTGTGAACAGATCATTTTCAGTCTAACAATATTTGCACATCCATATTTAACCTCAGGTCCATTGGTACCTTTCTCCTTTACCAACCTGTTTAACAGGCTCGTGTGAAATCTGATTTTAATGTCAACAAACCGTCCATTGCAATTGAAGCAGCAATGTCAATGTGGTAGTGGCCGTGTCACAACCATGCCTTTTACTGTACCTGATTAGCTGTTAGACAATAGTTAGCAAAAATATTTAGCATCACGGTTTAGTATTAAGTTCAAGCTAACTGGATAAGCTAACTGTGTGAGAATCTAGCTTTTTTTATTTAGCTCATTTTCTTTGCCAAAGAAATGTAGAAAACCAGTTCATATTACTTCTCTGGTTCCCCTTTGGTGCACATGGACCCGTGACACATGCTTTGAGAGTTTGTTTTATTTTGACAATGCTTATGCTCACGTACTGTACCTTGGCCTTATTTATAAATCTTGATCGGACAACGATAGGCTAAAATAACACATGCGGTAAATCTGTGATTACATATGAAGAGTACTTATTTTAACCTGTTAGAAATGAAAAATGACACAGAAACTCACGGTTGTTTAGGTGTGGACACTCTTATTAAAGAATTTCTTGCAGTTCCGTTTCAAACATGTTTATTTGAAGCACTGCTATAGAAGTATGTTTTGGGTCAAGATTAAGGACAAAAAAAAATTCAGAAAATCCCATAACTTCCTGCCATCTTCACTTTTGTTTGAACAAGTTGGGATCAAGGTGATCAGAGGGATCACAAAGCAACCTGACAGCGACTTCCCACTGAGCCCTGCGTTAAACTTCTCTTTGCTAATGAGAATTCCCATGGTAATGATGAGGGAGTGGGAACAGCCAGATCCCTCGTAACGTTGCCTCTTTGCCCCTATGGCGTAACTGAAGGCCCTCCACTCTGCTTGGCTTCACTGACCCTCAGGAAATTGAATTTGAAGTTCCCAACAGAGGATTATTACGGTGGGCAGTGGCGTCTTGACCTACAGCTCTGACACTTTTTGTGACTGTAAAGAGGATTCTGTTTGTTTGTAGTATCGATGGAGACATTTCTTCTGAATTAGTATTCTGAATATTAATGTTGAGTTTTGCTCTATTCCGGCAACAATTCTTGTTTTTTGAAACATGGGACATCAAAGATACTTTATTGGATTGGTGCTTTCTAATGGCGTGTATAAAAATTGTATACATTCCCCAAACCTCACAAACCTCGCCCACAGACCAGCCACAAAAACCCTTTTCTTTCCCTGTGGTCACTTTGGCTTTTGTTACATTTGTGTTGGGGTGTCCCCTGTCATCGATGGACGCTGTTTGGGTGTGGTGAAGCCTCAGGGTGGGCAACAGATGGACCTCGGTTGTGAGGCTCCCCAATCTGTCTGCGTTCACTCACGGCAGCAGGTGAATGTAGGGAATCTGGAAACGCTGTCTCTGCTTTCCTTTTCCACTCCAGGGCGTGTCTGTCTAGTGTTACCGATAGGTGTGTTTCCCTCTCTGTAAATCATGTTAGGCAACGGATGTCGATAACAGCCCTGTTGGTGTTCGTAATTTCATCCATGTTGTGGTGTTATTTGGAAAATTCTACTACTATTACTATAATTCATCACTGTCAAGGAGCTGATTTGTCCAGTTAGACAAAACCTGCAACTTACGTTTTTAAGAAGACATTGTCAGAAGTTGATAGAGTCCAATGTTCATCTTGTCATTTCCTTGGGTGAGGGTGAATGTGATTGGACACCTTGTAAGAGGCCTCAACAGTGGCGCCTGTGTTTAAACCGTTGACTTATTTGCAGAATTGTTGACTGATTTTATTTATAGTTCCTTCATCATTTTGGTTCATTGACAAAAGGAAAGGAAAATATGAGGAATGTAGCAAAAACAAATTTGCCTTTGAGAGAACGTCCTTGAACACCATCTGCAGTGGTGGATACTTCTGTTTACATTTTTGGATACAATTTGAAAAAAAAGGTGTACGCTAGTCATGTAAAACCACAGGTTTTTCTATAGCTTCAAGTCTGCGCAGTGATAAGTCGTGGTCTTTGTCCACCATATACATATATGTTTCCATGGTTGACAGTTTAATCTTTTCCGTTTTCCTATGTTTCCTGCACAGTCACTGTTGTAGCATTGCAGACTTTGACGACTGTGTGTGTGTGTGTGTGTGTGTTCAGATGTTCTCACAGTCTAATGAATTAGAAATGACTGACTGTGGGGTTTAGATGTGAGGACAGCGCAGCTGAGTGTACAGGCTGATGTTAGCAACATGAGGCCATTGGTGACGTTGACCCTATCAATTAGTAATACACCCTGAATCTCAGGTGGAACCTGCTGTTGGTCCGGCTGTATATGAGATGGTGTCATTTAAATTCACAGTCTGGGATGGTTAGATACTTGATTATCTTTAACAGAACTAATGTATAGTTCAATACAAAAAAAAGACCTGACTCTACCTGGTGTCTATGGTTTCCGTTGTTCAATAACACCGTCCCTCCAACTGATCTGAGAGCAGCCGACCTTCACCTGTATCACCACCTATTCCTCTGATTTATCGCAAGTTTTTTTGTTTAGAGTATTTATTCATCTCATTGGCTAAACTAAGGGATGTATCAGATCACTGTCGCCATAGCAACTCTGACAGTGAGTGATGTGCTGTCATGAAATACAACGACAGTCCCTCCAACTGAGGGATGAGTGATGTGCTGTCATGAAATACAACAACAACTGAGGGCAACATGGAGAATAGGGTGAATAGGGAGTTTACCTCCTCCCTTCTCTTCTTGTCTTCATGGACTGGAAACTGCATCAGTGTTTTTACCACTTATTTAACATGTAATCAATACCACATTACATATTTAGAGCATTTGCAGTGGACAGTATTGATTTACAGCCGAGATTAAAGTGTTTCTCAGCGATTATGTTTCTTCATTGTCTTTTTAGATATTTTAAAGGAGTTATTTGAATGAAGTTTAGTGAATATAGACAACAAACATCGAACTTTTCTACATTTTGTTTCTGGATAATTCTGACAGATTTAGTACAGCCATTTATTTAAATTTCCAGTATTAGTTTAGAAGTCTTGTTTGCATTTACACACATTGCTTTTGTTTTAGAAGTCTTGTTTGCATTTACACACATTTTTTTTAAAAAGGATTGTTTTCAAATGTATCTCAATACACTGTTGCATAGTTGTCGTCTAACCTTTCTATATGTTGTGACAAAAACTCTAAAAATTACAAATAACCTTCTGTGTTTATGTGTAACATGAGTTCTATATGAAACGTCACCTCCGTCTCTGATCATTATCCACCCCAGAGCATGACTTCAAAGCCTTTCAGAAATAGGAAACAGTTATTGTGCGCCCCTGTGACTGCGCACCCCATCTCTTTGATCCGTGACACCCCTTAATTTACCCCTAATTTCAGATTGTCCATGACAGTACACATGACTGCCTCTGTATAATCCCGGTCTATGTGTGTTTTTTTCTTGCTCTTGCAGCTTTATGGCCAGCCCTGCCCTCTTCCCAAAGGGAGGTAACCTTCAAAGCGCAGAGTTCAGCACCATGGACGAGCAGCTGAGTGATGGAGACGGACTCAAAGGACAGGCTGTCTTTAGTGTAATCGGATGAAGGATCGTCTAACCTTCCTCCACTAGTAAAGGAATGGCACTGAAACATGTTTGTTATCCAGGCTGAATGGACGTGATTTAAAGGAGACAAGACAACTCTTTGTAAACAAGAGGATAAGCCATTAGGGTATCCAGATTTTTTTTGATCTACTCTCTCCCAGCCCAGAGCTCGTGTGGTGACAGCCCTCCACTGTGATGCTTGTTATGAATCGTCGATGTACCACTAATGATCCAGAGAGCTGCAGCAGTGAGGAGAGCAGCTGCACCACATCCTCCATCACCTCGGATCTGTCTTCTATGTCTGAACACACTCAGTCCTCACTACCTTCCCTCAGCGATGGCCCTGATACCTTCAAACATGGAGCCCAGCCTCCACCTCCGCCTCCTCCCCCACTGCCACCTCCACCTCCGGGGGTGCCCCCTCCTCCTCCGCCCCCAATGTCAACTCCCACCAACCCCAACGGAAGGAAAAAGCGCCGCGTTCGGAGCTTCTTCTGGAAGCCGATCCCTGAGGAGAAGGTACGTGGGAAACCCAACATCTGGACGCTGGCAGGACGACAGCAGCAGTACCAGATCGATGTCCGCTCTGTGGAGGAGCTGTTCGGGCAACAAGAGGAGGCGGCGTTGGGGGTCAGACAGGTGGCACCAGCCACTGGAACCTCTGCTGGTGTGACCCGGTCTCGATCGTTCAAAGAGAGCAGCAAGGAAGAGGTGAGTGAGTGTCATGACCTGTACTTGATGGTGAGGAAGTTCAGAGTGATTCTTCTTCTCCCTCCTTTATGTTTCTATGTATATTTAACAGCCAATCAAAAATAGATTTTTCACTTTTGGCCACAATATTCAAAATCATTACCATCCAATGCTTCAAAAATATGTAACGTCACAGTGTAATGGGATCGTGATATGTAAAAATGCTTTTCTTTTGTTGTTGTGTCTGAGGATTGTTACTTTTTAACAATAAAACATCGTCATCATCATCGTCATCAACCAAAACGAAACCCAAGTAGATTTTAACAATAAAACATCGTCATCATCAACCAAAACAAAACCCAAGTAGGATCATACATGTTTGAAATAAATCCAAAAATAACTGTTACTGCGCTTCAGAGTTTCCAGGAACACAAACTCCTTTTTTATTATAACAATATAATTTATCACACTACTACAAGAAAAGACCAAGAAGGAACCAAGAAAGTTTTATTAAACTTTTATTGAAATTATTTGTATATGTCTTGAACATTGAACAATAATCTACTGGAATCAAACCATTTTTTTTTCAATTATTTTTATGACCATGGCCTTTATTTACATCTCCTCCCTTTGTCCTGTAGACCCAATCATACATGTTTGAAATAAATCCAAAAGTAACTGTTACTGAGCTTCAGCCGAGTTTCCAAGATTCCAGGAACATTTCCCACTAAGATGTCATTACAGTTAGGCCTGAAAAGACAAACTGTGTAAAACCACAACCCCTAATGACACGTTCAACGTTTAATCCAATTCATGACACTTACCGTACACACTGTGTGCAAACACAGTGCCATTGTTTCTGCAAAAAATGTGCTGAACCTGACCCAGCACCGATGGGACTGAAGGTCCCAGATTCATAAGTGTTCAAAGCAGCAGCCTATAACTCTACACTGCCACTGCTATAATGCCGTGTCCCTGCAGGGATGCGCTAGGCTACAGTGTTCAGTTACAGCTTTTCTTTTTAAAAAAATGTTTGTGTCCATAAGTGACACAAAAGCCCGGTTGCATCATTTTGTACTTCTGGAAAGTAACACGAACTGTAAAGCAATATTTGTGTGAGGCTCCAGTGATGTAAAAGTCAGTAAATAACCCTGCTTCATCGCTCTATTATGAAACGACTGGAGCAGGTAAAACCTTTAAGTCTGAGCCCTGACTAAACACACCCTTGGGAGTTTCATATAAACCCCACTCAGTACTGCACACTCTAGCACTTCTCCAGTGTCATCTGTCAGGGCTGAGAGAGTCAATACATATCAATATGTATTTTCACTTTAACACAAAAAAATGTTTTAGAGGAGATAGTTGTGTAGAGGTAAGTGAATAGACTTGTCAATACTTCTGCTTCCACATGTCAGGAAGTAATAATTCTACAGTAGCATTTATATTAGCCTTTAAATGGTTGGTGATGCTGATGGAGGTGTGACACGAGCAACATCTTCCAGGAGAAGGTGTGAGTGTGTGAACTGTGATATTTCCTACTTCGAGGTGTTTTGAATTACTGTTATTTATGTCTCTTATCTATTTCTAGATCAGCATTCTGGACTCCAAGAGAGGAATGAACGTGGGCATTTTCCTCAAGCAGTTCAAGAAGTGAGTTCTTCCAAAAGTCTTAAAAGAGTTTTTAATTTTGGAGTGCATTCAGCCTAAACAAAACAAGTTATAAATTCTTATAAATACATATAAATGCCAATTTCTTAATTTTTTTTATTCAAAGTAATTCTAATTCACCAAGTCTAGAACATGTTCTTCTTGACTTGGTCTCCTCAAATGGAACATGTTCTTCTTGACTTGGTCTCCTAAATTGATTTAAAAAAATGTTTTTCCTTTTTTTTTTTACACTCATTAAGTCTTTGCTGTGCAGCCTGATATTTCATTGTGAAAATCAAAATGAGAAATGTTGTGTAACTGGTCTAGAATTTGTTCGAGGTATGAAAGTCCAGAGCCGGAAACAAAGACTAAGGATTACTGGTTCACAGCGTCTGGGTGAATGGAGGGTGGTGAAATAAGTACCAAGGCTCCGGTACAGGATGAGATTTCCTGAACCCATTAAATATAAACAATGGTCCATTGAATGAGGCTATAAGAAAATCTGAAATGCATGTATGTAGTAATTAAATGTCTGTTTGTTTTTTAATGGAAAGTACGTTTGTCTGATTTCTCTGCAACGGCCTGACAACTCCGTTAGATAAAAACAGAGAATTGGAATAAAACATCCTAAGAGAGAGAGAGAGAGAGAGAGAGAGGGATATAGAGAAAAACACTCTCTCTCTTTCTGTTTCCCAAGTGGTGTAACAAATGAGAGAAAATCTCTCCTACCTCCTCAGAGTGTCTACAGAAAGTATGTTAGGTGTGTGTTTCCATCTATTTGCATGGCTCCCCACTGTATTTTAATAACATTTGACTGTCAACTCTACTCTGTGCAGCAAGACAATGAGTGATGACCTCAGAGGACATGGGTAGATTTGGTTTACTATTTTCTTATTTCTTATCACTGGATTAACCACAGTCTTCAGTCATCAGTCAAATACAGTACAGTCCTGTAGCCTGACACTCACATATGTTATTATTACTTTAGCACCCATGCTTAAATGTTCACGTTTGAAGATATGTTTTTTTAACTTATACTGTATGTACTGTTTATGACAAAAAGGCTGAAACTTTATCGATTCCACGGAAATAATAAGCGCAAACAAGTAGTTTAAATATTATTATATTATTGATTATAACTATCAAGAAAATTGACTTTAATTTACTTTATAAGTCATTATGACAGTGTAATATCATAAAAGACTAATACGATTATTTGATCTAATCTGATACCTTTTTTAATTTAATTTAATGTAATTTAATGGGATTGAATTTAATGTAATTTAATTTAATTTGGTCCTAGTCGAGTGCAGTAGGATCCTATCTAATCTAATCTAAACTAACATTAAATATCTATTTATAATATGACATAGTATATTGGAAATGTACTTAATATAAATAATAAAATAAATAGCTTATGTACAAGCGTGGCGTTGACTGTTAGTATTTGTTGCTCATATATTATTATATAAATTATTAAGTGAAACATTTGTGGCAGTCTAGCCTCAGTATGTAAAGCCATCATTCTATAGAAGTAAACAATACTACCCACCCTCTCATGGGCAAACCTTACTGGCAGAATCTCTCTGCCAGTAAGGTTTGGCCACTGTTGACTCCATTGTAAAAAACAACAGCCATTATGTTTGCACAGAGACACATGGGAGTCTCACTGTAAAGCAGAACACCTGTTCAATTCATCCTGATGCTCCTGATGTGAAATGCGGCTGTCTCACTTCCAGGTCCAACCGCTCCATTGTTGAAGACATTCAACAAGGAGACGGGAAGATTTACGGAGCGGAGCTGCTCAAAGACCTGCTGAAGCTGCTTCCTGATGCAGAGGAGGTGTGTGTGTTTGAGGTTTTGTGTTTGTGCATGTGTGTGTGAAGCCTTTCACAAATGATGAATAAATAGATACAACAAATAGAAAAAAAAGTACAGTTTATGTGGAGCACCCACTGATCTCCCCCTGTCTTTGTTCTCGGCACAGATAAAGAAGCTGCAGATGTTTAAAGGTGATCCTGACAAGCTGACGCTCGTCGACTCCTTTATGTTCCTCCTGATCCAAGTGCCACGGTGAGTTGATCTTCATGGTGTTGTCCTGGGCCAACGGAAATACGGAATCACTTGTGTGAAAGCCATTGAATCACTGAGGGTTATTTTAGTTCAAATGAAATGTGTCACAGATTCAGGTATGTCTGAGGAAGACTGCACAGTCAGCACACAGGGAGTTCTGTACTGATCTCAGACGCACTAAAGTAGTGAGTGTCAAACTCAAATTCACAGTGGGTCAAAATTAAAAACAGCACAATCCAGAACTGTTGTTCATATTAATAAATGAGATTTGTTGATTAGTAACAATGAAATATAGTTCTTTGTAAACGTATGGCTAACATGAAAAGTTCACATCCTTTACTTCTGCTCGTGACAGGTTTGAGGTCCGGATCGAGGCGATGGTCCTGCGTGAAGAATTCTCGCCGTCCTGTGCTGTGATGAGCCACGATATTGACGTCATCCGTGTAGCTACCAAAGGTAGGAACGCACGGGTATCTGCCTCCATGAACACTCGGGCCAGGTGACCCAGATATCTGAGCTGACAGAGGTGCTGGATGAAATGTAGGAATGTGTCACCTGAGACACAGCGATGTGGGGACATGGTGGACGGACAGAGCGACGTCATCTCACTGCTGCTTTGTTCTTGTGGTACTTGTCATAACTGTGTATAATATTTTTATACTACTATCAACTTTACTACCCCTACCCTGGATGGCACTCTTGCAAAAACCACTTTGTTTTGTGCTACGTCGATGTTGAATTTGGAACTCGAAACACAAAACTCAGTATTCTCGGAAAATTCTAGCTTAGGGCTATGACTATGAGTAGTGAAAGGCAAGGAAACCTGGACCTGTCACTGACACAAAGGTTTGATCAGAATAATCTTAACAAAATACTGAATGCAATTTACACGTAATTTTGTTTATTTTACTTCTTTTGTTAGTTTACTTCTTTACTTTACAGTGATTTTTTTCACCCCCTGCCTGAAACTGTTGTTCAGTCCTGCATTAGAAACAAACTGTCATTATTACTGTCCAACAGTTTATCCTATTGAACCTTGTCCTTGTCCTTGTCCCACAGAGCTGATGAACTGTGAGGAGCTTCATGCCATTCTGCATCTGGTGCTGCAGGCTGGGAACATCATGAATGCTGTGAGTCGCTATGAAACAGACACTCAATAAAATAAGCATAAACTCTGCTGGGTGTTCGTGTTTTTCTCATTGTCACCAAATCCTTGACCAGAAATGTCAGTCAGTCTTCTGTTATTTTGCTTCTTCTTCAAAACTTTACACTGACATTTATGACTTAAATAATAAGAGCTATAAGTTACATTACTTATGGACTTCAAGTTGACCAAACTTCTACTTAACTTTTAATTAATTTCTTTAACTTCTGGGACTTGCACACATATTTGTGTGACACAATACCATGTGCTCTGTGTTTTTTTAAGAAAGTCTTACTTGCTGTAGGTACAATGTAGGCGTCTTTAATTTAATTGGACGTGTTTCCTCGTCCTTTTCTTTTCATTTTCCTATCGTTGCTCTGATCCCCAGGGTGGCTACGCAGGAAACGCCGTAGGCTTTAAGCTGTCGTCACTGCTCTCATTGGCTGATACTAAGGCCAACAAGCCGGGGATGAATCTACTGCACTTTGTTGCCATGGTGAGTAAAAGCTGCACATGTATACTGTGGTCTGGGCTGTCCTGTTTAATCAAATACAACAAAGCAAACGTGGAGATAAAGATAATTACCCTGGAGTTAAGTAAACACGTCAGTCAGATAAAGGAGGTTGATTATGGAGACGTCTCAATGTATGTGAGCATGACACGACAGTTTTTCCGGTTCGTTCCATTGTAATCACATGAAGGTGGAAAAGAAATAGATGTGCTGGAATAATGAAAATAAAGCATTGTTTTACTTTTCTACATTGTAGTGTTGGACAGGAGTAAATCTGAATTTCTCCTTCTGACTTTTCACACAGGAGGCCAAGAAGAAGGACGAGAAGTTACTCAAGTTTCCAGAGAAACTTCAGGATGTGCAGAGTGCAGCCAGGTCTGTCGTGATTACAATAGAAAACAAACAAAAATAATAACCAGTTTTTGGAAATTCATAATGTTCAGAGCTTCAGAAAAAAAGTTGATCTCTTAAAACAAGCAGTTTCTGGAAATTCATAATGTTCAGAGCTTATCATGTGAATACTATTAGAAATAAGCTATATATTATATCACAGTATATATTATTTGGGTCAATCACTCATATATTAAATCATATTAATCACTGGGTAGGATGTGGATCAATCGTGATTAATCACGCTTGTAATTTATCATTGTTAATCATGATTATCAATAGCCCTATATATTATATATTCAACCATTTCTACACACATTTTTCCCATCAATTCCTCTGCTGTTTTATCTAGAATCTCAGTGGAGAACATAGAAGTGGAGTTTTCTTCTTTGTATGTTCGTACCAAAACCTTGGAGGAAAAGGTTCGTGGAGACCAGGAGCTACAGCAGCAGCTGGAGCCATTCCTGCAGGTGACGCAGCAAAACACTGAAAGTCTAATGGAGAGACTTCTGACATAAGTCACACACACACCCACACACATGACGACACTGTTCATTAATGACTGGCTAATGTACTCGTGTATTTCTGTCCCAGAGCTCACTTCAGACTCTTCAGGACCTGAAACGACGCAGACTGGAGCTGCGCAAGGAGGGAAACGCCCTCATCGATTTCTTCTGTGAAGACAAGGACACGTTTAAACTGGATGAGTGCTTCCGCATCTTTCAGGACTTCTGCATTAAGTTCAAGAAAGCAGTAAAGGTCAGTTTGTTTAGTTGTGGTAGCAGCAGGATTAGTACAAGGAAGGGATTAAAGGAGGGAGGGGGAAAGACTGGTTACACAGAGACTCTTACTTCAGACAGTGTCGTTGAAAATGGTCCAGATTAGAAAGGTCTTCATGATGTTCTTCCAACCTAATGACTGGGAGCTTAGCTTACAGTGTCGTTGAAAATGGTCCAGATTAAAAATATCTTTATGATAAATGTACATTTCTTCCAACCTAATGACTGAGGAGCTTAGCTTAGGGTCCCACAGATTTATCATGTTATCTTTGTCCAAAGACAGTGACTAGGGCCCCACAGATTTATCATGTTATCTGTGTCCAAAGTCAGTGCCTAAAAGTTGTGTTGAACAACTTAATTAATTAAACATAGTCAAGTTTGATGTTTCCAATCTGGTTATGGAAGAATAGTCTCTTTATTACACATTCTGAAATCACATGAGTGAATCTAATGGTCAAAATATGTTTTAAATTTTGTCTCTCTTCTGGTTATTCGTCAGGACAACCTGGATCGTGAGGTGAAGGAAGCAGCCAGACTGCGTCGCCTCAGAGAGCTGGAGGAGAAGCGTTTAGCGTGGGTCGGTGTAGAACGCAGCCAAGGGTTTAGTCGCAGCAGCAGTGAGAGTGATGTGGAGATGCTCACCAAGGACGGCCTCCTGGATTTCTTCAAACAGAGGTCTCAGAGTCCAAACAGCCCGCTGGCCCGCTCTGCCAGTGCTCGTCGCCACCGCCACACCATGACATCTACGGCGGACCGTGAACTCCAGGGATACCTAGAGCTCTTCGGAGGTTGCGACAGCGACTCCAAGTTTAACAGCCTACCTCGGTCGGGTCGCACTGTTCAACGCAGGACGACCCCCTGGATCTTAACCCAGGATGCAAACCGCGAGCTCGGCCGTGAGCGACAGCTGACATCTCCGTGTGCACAAACTGAACCCATCAGCCCTCTGGCCGTGTTCTCCTCCTGTGGAATAAACGATAACATGGACCCATGTAACAATAACAACAACAAATACACATCTGTGTCTGAAGGCAGCGCTCTGCCTCACTCCTTTTTTGTCTTTAAAAAATCTGCTCACCTTTCCATCCCAACCGTTACAGGCCACATGAATGTAAATGTGGAGAAACACACTTTAGTTCCTGGCCCTCAGACTTTTGAGCTACCAAGTCCAAACAATAACAGTAAACATATGCACTTTGTCAACCAGGGAGACATGGCGGTGACCAGTCTGGAAACAGGAAGAGGATCATCCCCGACGTGTCTGGACATACCAACAGATCATGGACTTTCGCAGGGAAGAACAGATTCAGCACAAGGGTGGGAGTCTAAAATAGACTGTCACACAAAGACTGGTCCATCTCCTGACACGGAGAAAGAAGAAGAAGAAGAAGACAGCACTGTTTCATCTACAACCTGCGACACACCTCTTCCTCTAGACACCTCCGTATCCAATAGGAAACCAGTGTTTTACATCATAGACTGCACAGAGACCGACTGCTCCGTTACTTTGGATTATTCTGAGGCTGAACCCTCATCTCTAACCAAAGAGGGACTTCATCTCAGAGCTACAGATTACAGCAGAGATCAGGAGAGCCAACAGGAACCCAGCTCCCTGTCCTCTAACCTAGAGTCACCCAAAGACCAGTGTGTGACGAGCAACGAGCTTTCAGCACCCAAATCTGTGGATACGGCATCGAAGACGGCGTCTGGGACAACGGAGGAGTGGGACAAGGAGAGCTGTGACACTGCTGACGGAAAACAAAGTTCAGAAAAGGACACGCAGAAAAACGTCAAGAAGCCGATTATCGTAAAAAATAAAACAACCAAAGCAGTTCGTGCCGTGCGAACGTTGACCAGCAGTGAGAATCAGGGCATGAGGAAGGTCGTTCCTATCAGCAAACCTACGAGGACAGGCAGCAACAAATGTCCAGAGAGGACGCAGGGGAATGAGAGCGCAGACACACACCGTCCTCCTCGCGATCAGAGCACGCCAGCCAGAGGTAGGAGCGAGAAAACCTCCCGTCCTCTTCGACACTCCAGTTTGCCTCCTGATGAATCCAAAGCTCCGAGGGCAAGCAGCCTCAGCAGTGGCGTTCCGAGGTGGGCACGTGATTCCACACCAGGGAAGGCCTCCATCCACAAACCGAGCGCCAAACCCCTGAGGAACATCTCCAGACCTCCTCCTGAGGAGAAAATATGCCGCTCCACTATGAGGGCTTTGGCTCAGGCTCAGGCTCAGGCTGAAGCTCAGGCTGGAGGTCACTCTGAGAACAGCAGCTCGCAGACACTCAGTTCCAAAAACACCTCCGACCTTCCCAACTTTGCCCGCAACACAATTGCTTCCACAACCAGGACCAGAAAGGAGCTGGGACCCCCGTCCGTGCCCTCCACGCCGACTCGCAGCCCCACTGTTTTGGTTCGACAGCCTGTTATAAAGCAGAGATTAACACCCGTGGTTCCAAGCGGGGAGGAGTCACAAGGTACAAGTCTGCGAAGAGTGCAGAGCGTTAGGTCCTCCAGTAGAAGATCGTACCGGAGTGAGACCCCGCCCCCGGCAATCGATAACGCTCGTAAAACAAGTAGCTTTTCTGAAAAATCACTGACGATAAACAGCAGAAATACTAAACCCACCTGGAAATAGTCAAAAACTGTCCTCACCTCTGTCCTCAGTCTGACGTCTCTGCTGGACGATACAAAAAGGCAGACGCCAAGAAAATATATTTATCAACATACCCTTTACGTTTGTAGCTGTCTCTGGATCAGGTTTACCAAATCAAAAGAGCACGATGCAATGAAACTGGGAAATTTGAGTTTCATACAAAACAGAATCTGAAATGTTTATATCAGAGGAGGAAAAAAAAAACTTAAAACGACAAACGGCGAATTGGTGATTTCCAGACTCAAGCCTTTTTGCCTGCTTAGCAGTCTGCACGCTTTACGTGCTGGTTTGTGTGATGATGTTGAACGTTATTGTTCTGATACGATGCTGCTGATGAGCTCTGACAATTAGAAACTTTTGATTCAGGGTCACATGGTCTGTGGAACCGCACCTTGCTGCTCTTATGGTGTCTCTCAGTTGTGTTGCTTTCTGCTGCAGAGCTCTGCCTTATTTGCTGTTTTTGGTTCTTTTGCTTGATACCTCAAAAAAAAAAACTGTGGCCTTGAACCAGCAGGCAAGTAGAATACACTCTATTCTGCATGAAAACAATTGAAAAAAAATCAACAAAAATGTCTACAGTGACAGACCAGAAAAGTGGTACACAGCCTGAAAATGTAATGAAAACTGAGAGGATTGCCTACAACACACTCTGAATGAGTTTGGGAAAAGACAAACTTAGTGTTGGGTCACACACTGTTTTACTAACACTTTCAAAGTATGTAGAATATATGGAGGTGCTAACAGTTCTAAGTTCCGGATCTCAGAAGCAAATTCCAGATTAATTTTGTCACCAATACCGCAGTAGTTTTAGGTCAATGCGACTACGTTCGCTACAGTACGTAGCATTCCTAATAAATGACCAACTAAGAACTCTAAGGTCATGCACATTCAGCAGTGGTTTCCTAGAGTCCATCCCTTAGTTCCGAAGCCATCACTGAGGTATTAAATCACAATATGTTAATCATGGGGTTCCCATTCCAGTCAAGTGTGTCCTTTCTACAAACTAGAGGGGGCACTGCAGGAAGGTTTGGTGAGCACTGCCTCGATCTGTTACTCGTGAACCTGCTAATGAGGATGTCACATGAATGAGCTTCTCAGCCCAACTCTCCCTTCGTCTTCGTCTTATTCACAGTGTGTTGTAGGCAACAATTTCTGAATTTGTTTAACAAATGGAATTAATTTTGTCAGTGAAAACACATTCAAATCTTTCTTTTTTCTTTGGTCTGTGAAGGTACAGGTAAAAAAAAAGATTTACTTTAATAGTATTTTCAGGAGGTGGCGCAGTGTGAAATGGGGGTTGTATTACAACACGATGACAGCGTGCCCACAGTTTGTAGCCGCAGTTGTTCTCTCGTACCTTGCATATACTGTATATGTGTGAGTAGTTTGTAAATCTTTTAGAACTCCTCCATGATATTGTGGAGTAGACGTGCACGTAGGAAATGATTCCTATATACTGTAGGCTAGTTCAAAACCAATGCTAATGCTTTGGGAGGAGTGCAGCATTAAATGCATCGAAGCGAAAAACACTGGAAATGTCATCAGTCTTGTGAGCTAATATTTCTTACTGTGAATGTAATTAAATCATCTTTCCTGATGCAGTTCAACAGCAACATCAGCTCAAACTGGTCACAGTTTAGCTGGACATTATTTTGTGTCTCTGACCTACAGCTGGTTGACCAGTACTGGCTGATATGAAAGTGTGTTAACAACCAAAGTCACTTCTAACCATGCGAGAAAAAGTCTTAAAGGAGGAATTTAGCATTGTTGAAGATCACACAGGGCTGTTGGAGCAAAACCTTTCCAACATAGACTGAGATATTATTTGTTTTTAGGTTCAGCCTGGTTGGTGACTAGAAACAGTAGATTTGTTTCCCTCTAAAATGGTCAAATTATCATCACATATCTAATGCAACATGAAATGTAAGAAAGTCCTTTTGGACAGAACAAAGAAGGTGGAAGAAAAAAATAAAACAATCACTAGGATTTCCAATTTCAAACTCCTAGCAGAGGATGGTTTCGATCCATCGACCTCTGGGTTATGGGCCCAGCACGCTTCCGCTGCGCCACTCTGCTACAGAGTGGGTTTATCCTTTTAGTGTATCATAGAGAAAAACTGAATCATGTCATTTACAATATATGTTTCTGTTTACTGAACAGAAAGATTCTTCAAGCTACTTCAAAAAATAGACATTTGTAAAGTGATAAAGTCCAAATGGGAGCAGATTATTTAGCCTCGTCGTTCAGGTTCAGTCACATGATTGGATGAAGTAATACTCCGTTAACGTCAGCAGAATGTTGTTTCCAGATCACTGAGATCACTGTCTGTGATGGTGATACTGTATGTCAGAGGCACAAACTTCTTTGGTCCTGTTGATCTTTTCACACCACTTGCCTTTTTACCCACGTCGTGCCACTGCCTCACGGGCAACAACATTCACTCACTGCAACACATTGCCTTAATTCTTAACGTAGCCGATCCATCAGCAGTAGAAAAGCCGTGGTTGTAGAGGGAGGTTGAAAACGTCATCCTCAGATCACGTTACACCGAGCTGAAACCTTAACTCCACTGATCGTTTGGTCATTTACTATGTAAATATATATGTGAAGAACATAGTATTTTTCTGACTATTCATATGTTTACATAGCATTCGTTGAAAATGAAGGGTGAAAGAGTGGAGTGTGTAAGAGCACAGATATTTAAATTGAGAGCTGAAGATCATATCTGGACGTATGACTGAAAGCCTTGTCCTGTTGTCTTCTCATCTGCATGTGTGGGTAGTGTGTGTGTGTGTGTGTGTGTGTGTGTTCCTCTTCCCTCTTCCCTGTTCTCTGTAAATGATGGGAATAAAGACAGAAAAGGCCTTTTGTGATTTTTTTTACGTGGACAATTATTTTTCAACAACTGGACCAAGAGACACACACACAGACACACACACACACATCTTTGTCAGTGTCTTCAAAATGTGATCTATTTCACTGACATAAAGTCATTCTGAATTTTTTCCTAACATGTAAAGAAAAATATAGTTTTTTAAAGATATTTTCATCCACAAAATCCAAAATGAAAACATTTGTAAACTATACTATATGCCTCATTCTACATGCTATATACTACAAAATACTAAAAATTAAAAACGTTTTCTGGAAAGATATCTTTCATCATTAAAAGGAGCAAAAAATTATAATGTTGAATTCTGTTTTCAGAGGTGTATCTGTGAAATACCTCAAGTCTTTGCACAATGCAAAAACATCTTGGAATATAGATGGAAAAAAATTAATTTGCTATTAAAAAAAGTTATTATAAATTTGCTAGAAAAAAATTAATTTGCTATTAAAAAAATTTTATTATAAATTTGCTATTAAGACGTTTTATAACATTTAATCATAGTTTTTTTTGTTTTTGTTTTAGGGATTTTAGGATTGTTATTGTTTCTGGCTCTTGTCCTTGTCTTTCTTCGTCCTTATTCTCTGTGTCTCCTCCTGAGCTTTTACAATGGCTGACCTTTGCATTACATCACACAGGCAGCAACGGGGGAAGCATTCGCACAATCTCTCTCTTTGTAACAGAGTGGTTACCACAGTAACTCCACCAACAACAATCACCTTCACTACTTTGCAAACAAAAAGGTCACCTAACCCTCACATGTTGACAAAGAGAGCAGTAGAAATGTGATTAAAAACAATAAATAATAATTTAAAAAACAGTCCCATGTTTTAATCTTGTGTCTCCCTGACCTGATGTTTCCAGGTGTCTTGTTATGGCATGTTGTTGTTTTTATTTCTGACTGCAGCAGAGAAAGAAATAAAACCACGAGTTGCTGTGTAAGAAGACGACTGGTTCATGGTTCTTGTCTATAAATCGTCACCCTGCTGTACTTGAACAGAGAAGGTAACACTTTACTAGTCAGTCACAGATGATTTAATTCCATCCAAGTAAATCAGAAGTATTTTCCCCTTTTACTTTACACATGAAGACATATTTTTATACTGTACTTTCAAAAGAATTTATGGATTTTATTTTGATGTCGGTAGAGACAGCTGTATGTGACAACCTTTCTATTATTTGTTTTTAGGTACAGCCTGGTTGGTGACTA